AGACCCCCTGTGCAAACCGCACAAAATGGACTGCGGCCACACAGTCCTTCCTGGGATACTGCAGATCAGCGCCCCTATGCGGACCACACAAAATCGATTGCGGCCGCACAGCCCAGTGAAAAGCTGTGCGGACCGCACAAAACCGACTGCGACCGCACAGTCTCCATCGTGCACCGCATGACCCTCACACGGACCGCACTGGCCCCTTGCGTGGTCGCACATGATTTCTCGCAGATCGCACTAGCGGGTTCAGAGACCTGCAAATTTCTCTAAACCTGCAACAACTGTGTTTTTAGGCCTAAGGCATCCCGGAACCTACCCGAAACTCACCCGAGCCCTCGGGGCTCCTAACCAAACATACGTACTAACTCAATGACATCATACGAATTTATCCATGTGATCAAATCGCCAAAATAACCTCAATAACAACGAATTAAACCTCAAAATCAAAGAATTTTTCTCAAACTTCGTAAAACATCAATTGTTTTTGCAAATTTAAGTCCGAATCACGTTAAATGACATCCGTTTTCACCAAATTTTACAGAAATATCTTAAATCATATATAAGACCTGTACCGGGCGCCGAAACCAAAATACGGGCCCGATACCATCATGTTCCAATCAAATTTCATTTCAAATTTCTTTAAACAATTCTAAAAAATAATTTTTCTTTGAAAATTCATTTCTCGGGCTTGGGACCTCAGAATTCGATTCCGGGCATATGCCCAAGTCCCATATTTTCTTACGGACCCTCCGGGACCGTCAAAATACGGGTCCGGATCCGTTTACCCAAAATATTGACCGAAGTCAAATTTATTCATTTTAGAGTCAAAACTTATCATTTTTCACAGATTTTCACATTTAAGCTTTCCGGCTACACGCCCGGACTGCGCACGCAAATCAAGGTGATGCTAAAAGAGGTTTTTAAGGCCTCGAAATATAAAATTTCGTTTTAAAACAAGTGATGACCCAAAAGGTCATCACAACTAATCTATATTATATTAAAAGGAGAGTAGTGAAGCATGAGGTTAAGCCAAGTAGCAAGCTAAAAAAAGTCACTTGGCAATTTTAAGACAACATTAAATTATAAATGGAAACATAATTAATGGAAGTTGTAGTTCAATAAGAATTATTTTTTAATTATGATACAAATCTCTATTAGTTCTATAATTTAGTTAACATTTCTTTGTATAATTATGGTAAGGACGAATTTTAATTAATTGATCAAGCTTTGTAACTGACCTTATTTTGGTACAAATACATTACTGTAGGTATATTTAATTAAAATTTTATGTATAATTCAGTTATGGTAGGTATCCTTTTCTGAGAAAGAATCAATTAAATTTTCGTTTTGTATCTTACACATCAATTTTAAGTTGAAATAATAATTCTTTATTTAGTACAAGCTTTGTATCTAACATTATTTGGGTGCAATATACATTACTATAGGTATCTTCAATTAAAATTTGGTGTATAATTCAGTTATGATATGTATCCTTTTTTGAGAAAAAATCAATTAAGTTTTTATTTTGTATCTTACACATTAATTTTAAGTTGAAATAATAATTTTTTATTTAGTACAAGCTTTGTATCTGATCTTATTTGTGAACAATATACATTACTATAAATATCTTTAATTAAATTTTGTGTATAATTCAGTTATGGTAGGAAAAATAATTTAATAGTATATATATATATATATATATAATGAGATTATATTAATGTTGACAATTCGGATAAATAAATATTTTTCAAAATAATAGTGAAAATATTGTTGCAACAATTAGAGTTTTTACGATTAATATTTGAATTAAGTATTGCTAGGTTAGGTTTGAAAGTATAAGATGATTTTTGAATGTGGTCCAATGGATAAAATAGAAGAATAAGATATATTTGAATTTGAGATGAGACTTTTTTTTAATATGATAAGAAAAATCATATTTAAGAATATGAGCAATAGAGTTAAAGTTACTATTGAAATAATTTTTATTTATTATTTGTATTATATTAAAATGATTGTGATAAAAGTGGATATTAAGTTCAAGTAAACTAATAAAAAGCACATGACAATGTTAATAATATTAAGTATTGAATATACAATAGCAAAATAAGAAACAAACAGAGAAAAAAATCAAAATTTCTATCATAAAGGACAAAGAAGGATAAAACTTATTTAAATTTGATATAAAAAAGCTTTTTTTAAGTATGATAAAAAAAGGTCATGATGTGGATAAGGCCACATAACTGAAGTTTAATAGATTAAAAAAATTAAAAAATTAAAATATTAATAAATTAGAGAAAATGCGAGGTTATTTATACTAAGAATTAGTTTAAAAAATAAAATAAAGTAAATATATAATGCTTAAAAATATTATTAATAAATTTAAATAATTTAATAATTTTGAGTATTAATTTTAAATAAAATAAATATTTATTTCAAGATTAAAAAATCATACATCAATTTATATAATAATATTAAAGGATATAAATAGATTATGATATTAAATAAAGAGGCATGTTAATGAAAGCCACATAAGAAAATAAAATACTATATATTAGGTAACTTAATAGCAATAATAAAAAATTTAAAAATATTTAATATTAGAAATAGAAGGGAAAGACGATTTGAACTTGAGATTTAGATTAAAATTATGGTGAAAANAAAATAAAGTAAATATATAATGCTTAAAAATATTATTAATAAATTTAAATAATTTAATAATTTTGAGTATTAATTTTAAATAAAATAAATATTTATTTCAAGATTAAAAAATCATACATCAATTTATATAATAATATTAAAGGATATAAATAGATTATGATATTAAATAAAGAGGCATGTTAATGAAAGTCACATAAGAAAATAATATACTATATATTAGGTAACTTAATAGCAATAATCAAAAATTTAAAAATATTTAATATTAGAAATAGAAGGAAAAGACGATTTGAACTTGAGATTTAGATTAAAATAGAGATAGTGTGAGAATATTTATACTTGGAATTAATTAAGTATAAGTATATTAAATAATTAAATAATACTCAAATATATTATTGAAAGATTTAAATGAAAAAAGAATTCCAAGTAAGAGGATAAAAGTACAAAAATAAATTAAATTTTAGGAATAATTTTTTTTGGTATTTATATATGTTTATCAAAAGGGTAATAAGCAAGATATCAAGTCAATTGGTAAGCTAATAAAAGATCACATGAATATGACATTATAAAGTAATAGATAATGTAATAACTATAAGCAAGATTAAAGAGAGAGTTGATTTGGGTGAAAATATAGAAGGATAAAACTTATTCGAATTTGTGGTGAAACATAAAAAGGTAGTAAGAATTTTGTCAAGTAATATGCTCAAACAAGACATATCACAAACATGATATGTTTAGTATTTATTTAATATTGACCACAAAATAAAATACAAGTACTAAATCAAGGAGTTGCATTGTTACAGATATAAAATAAAAATATTAATAAAAAGAAACATATTATCTGGAAATTTTAAATTTTAAGGTAATTCCAATAAATCAAATTATAATTTGTTATTTGTGTCCGTGCATCGCACGGATACTAATACTAGTAATTATTAAGAATAAAATAGTACATGATCAATATAATAGTAGTATAAATTGTATGAGATACAAAAAAATTGTCTTACATTTTAGAATTCACCTACTAGTTACGATATACACTGAGCTTGTTGCTATGTGTTTCCATATTCATTGTAGTTTTGCGTCAAACAATACATAATTAATTTTGTAATGGTGATCAGCTTAGCTGAAAGCATATAAAAGAGGGGATAGTTGGGTCAAGTTGGACGGGTTGGGTCATGACCCATAGTTTAAACAAACTTGGCCCAACCCACTATGACCCGCCCAAATTTGACCCAAATCGCTCATTTGCCACCCCTATAATACATAGTATAAACTCAAGGTTTGGTTGGTTTGAAAACAGGTTATGCAGGGATTGATAAAGCATAGATATATAGGGATTATAATGTATGGATTAATAATTTTAGAAATATAATGTGAAAATTACTAATACAAGGATTATAAAGTATTCACTCTGTCCCCGAAAAAATAATACAGTTCAAATTTCAAGAGTCAAACGAGTTGTTATTTGATAGTGAATTCTTTTTTAGGTTTTTAAAACAACAATTATTTTGAACAAATATTTTTGATAAACATGTGCCAAGTAAATAGGATCGAAGAGTGTATTACATTCTTCTCTTTCTTGGTGATGGCGAAATCATCCACTTCAATGGTAAGCGTGAAAATACAAATAGCAGCCATTTTACAGCCAACCATGAAGCACGCAACATTCTTTCACTTCCTCTCATTTAGCACGCCGATTATATACACATAGGCGCACACTCTTAACATATCATTGATATTTTTCACCATTGACTTTTCGAATATATTTTTAAATACAAAAAAATTTAAGATACCTAACAGAATATAAATTTATCATCCTTTAATTTAACAGGAAAATGGTCAAAGTGGTTTTGAAGGAATGAAATGATACATTGGGATAAAGCAGAAAATATGCTTTAGTCAAATTATGAACGAAAAACTCGCATATGATGTATCAAAATGTATGGTCGTTCATTTTCCTATAGCAAATTATGGATTTATCATTTATTGAACCCTCTTTTTAGTTCTCTATTGTGTTATGTGAATGGTACTTAATTATTGATATCACTTTTATAATCTTTTTTGGATAATAGGATAATTATTATATTAATAGTAGCATAGTATTACCAAGTTTTGCCAAGTTATTACAAACAGAGGTAGGATACAAAGGTTGAATGCCTGAACTGCCACATCCTCCCCCAAACCCCCAACCAAAAAAATTAAGAAATAAAAAGGAAATGGACGAGGAGAAAGGAAACAAAAAGGCAAAACAAGCGGGAAGTAGGCAGTGCATGCGAAGTGGGAACTAGTCTTTCGCCTTTTTATACAACAGCACCATGCGCATGCGCTCGCCACAATTCATGGCTTACTCCAATTTCTCGACAAGTTATAAGCATTGGGAGCCCCCCAACTAACAAAAACTTTTTATAAATTTTAGGAATCGAAAATCATCTTCTAGAAGTAGGAGTATCCAAATCGTTTTCATCCCCAATTTTGGGTTTCTTCCATCAGTTCGTAAAAATGGTGCGTAATTGTTTTTTTATTATGTGTTCCAGCTAATTGTAGTCTGCTAATTTTGTCATTTGCTTGGCAGAACAAGCTGGGGTTTGCGCGCAAGGAGAAAGTTCAGCAATTCATGGCCGTAACTGGGGCAAGGTAGGTACCTTAGTCATGTGGGTTTACATTTGTTCTCATTTTACATTGTCAGTTGCACGGTCTTTTGTATGCTTCTCTTTGTGTATAAAATTTGAGGATACCAAGATGCTAAGTGGGCTTCTGGACATAAGAATTGTGAAATTCAGGAAAAAAGTGATTTTTTTTCTAGTGAAAATGATATTTGAAAATTAGAGATGTGTTTGGACATGAATACAATTTGGAGCTATTTTTTAATTTATGGAAGTGAAAATTTTAAAAAATAGCTTTTTGGAGTTTTTCAAATTTTCGAAAAATTTCGAAATTCAACTTAAATTTAAAAATTTCATGGCCAAACACTTATTTCCAAAAAGAGTAAAAAAAGTTCGAAAAAATGAATTTTTTTATGGCCAAACGAACCCTAAAATCATGAACTTCTAAATTTCTCATAGACGCTCTCTTCGTTCCATTTTACGTGATATTATTTCCTTATTAGTTTGTTCCAAAAAAGAATGACATCTTTTCATATTTGAAAATTAATTATTTTTACCCATAATACCATATTTTTATACCCATAGAAATCTTAAAACATGTTTAAAATCACAATTTCAAAAATATTTCTTTCTTAAACTTCGTACCCCGTCAAACTACCACACGTAAATTGAAACGGGGAAGTAAATCTTAGATAAACTCCTTTAAGCACAAAAAGGAGTACCTTATGTTGAATAAGACCTCATCAAAACAAAAAAATGGTAATTGTGTTTCGTGTTATGCCCCCAAAAGAAGTCATTAGAGTTCTGGGAATTGGGCATTTTCAGGGACTAGCCCGCTTCTACTCTTTTATTTTATTTTTTCAAAAAGACAAGGAGGATTAAGAAGGCCATTATTAAGGAAAACAAGGCAATAGCTTCGGTTAAAGCAAATCCCAAAATAGCATAACCTAATAATTGTTTTGCCAATGAATGATTTCTCGCAACAAAATTAAGGAACTGAAAACATTTCCAATTGTTGATATCTTAGATTACCAAATCCTTATATCAAGTTCTGAGTTATTAGTTTCTGAAAGTTAAATACAATTAGATATGCTTTGTTTCTCATTTTCTGCAAACATTATCACATTGGTGTAGATATTTGAAGTTGTAAGGTCTAGGGGTAGGTTTCCATTTAGTTTTTGTGTGTTTGGGTGGTCGCTTTCAATTTCTAGTGGACTGAAAGTTAAATAAGCTCATATAAGCATGTTTTGTTACTTTTTGGTTAAATTTGCTCATGTAAGCATGTTTTTGTAACTTTTTGGCTATGCCCGAGGCGTTTTTTTTTTCATCTTCCTGCGAGGGGGCTATGCTCATAAAGAATTCTTGTATACTAGTAGACAATGTAATGAGTTAACTGAACATATTGCTTTTGGACTTCAGGAAATATCGCGTGAGACTTTCTTGCTACTTCCTTGGGCGAACGCTAACCCAATTTCTTGATGTGTAGCCATTAATTTCATAATTTAGTTACATAATGAGAGTCATTTTGTTTATTAGAGTTATCACAATTGATTGTGGAGTGAGATTGTTTGGGAGAAATGTGTTACTTGACTGTATAAGTTTTAGTGTTTGTAGATGCTTTATACTCCCTGTGCCTCATTTATGGGACACAATTTGATATAGTATGAAGTTTAATAAGTTAATTAACTTTGTATGTTTCTTTAATGTCTCTATACCATATATTGTGATGAGATATTTGTGCAGCAGGAGAGTAACTGAAAAAAGTTTTGGTTAGTAATGAGGAGTTGCATAAAAGAATATGGATTCCATGGCTCCTTTCTTAACTCTCATCCACCTACTGATGACCTCTTTCTCAGTGAAGATAGTGGATAGTTTTTATTTACACAGTAACCGAGTAATATGGCAATGTAAAGTGTAATCTGATATACTTAACACCATAAATTTTTAAAAATGATGGAGAGAAAAACTTATTTTGTAGCCAGAGAAAGTTCGGTTGAACTAATCAAGCTACACGATATAATTCCTCTGCTTTTGGTACAACATTATTGAGGGAAGAAGAAGCTTTTTAGTAGAATCAGGATTAACCACAGCAAAACAGCAGATGCAATATAGTGGACATATTCAATCACCTTGCTGTGGTACAAACTACTAAGGGAAGAAGATGATAAATGATCATCATTCTGGAAATTAACCACCATATGGGATAAACATGCACTGCTAACAAGATACCATTATTTACGGAGAAAAGAATTTATCAGTCAAAGGAATCCAACTCGGCAGTATAGGAGTTATAGCTTTGCTCAGGTAGCATCCTCTAGCCTTTAAATGAAGCTGCAACAATCATTTGTCATATAGATAATAATGGCACCAATTTGTGGTGGATGAAAGGGCATTAAAATTCCATAGGTTCCAGGGTTAATGTTTGATGGACATATACTGGGATGTTACAATACTCCTACCAGTGTAGTGCTACAAAGATAAATCTAAGTAACTGGGGAATTGCAAGTAGGGAAAGGTTATAAAGATGAATGGAACTGATTTTAGATCGAGTTCCCATCCAGAGTAAAAGCAATTATGATCGGCTGGTGGGTCTTGAAAGGACAGAAACTCTTGCTTGGTTTCTGATTCCCGATAGCCTCTTGCCACTGGAATAAGTTAAACCTAGCCATGTATAGATCAAACTCTCGAGCTTCCCACAGAATCTATGCTCAGATGCGGAGGCTTGTGATATGGGCAAGTGTTTTTTGGACTGAACCAATTGCATCTATAGTGGATTAGATTACGCGCGGAGCCGCCGACACGTGCAACAGATCTCGCTGGAAATTCCTCCTTTGTCCGGCGCGTGGGAGGGAGTTTTCCGGTGGGATTGACTGCGGTTGGTCGCCTGAGCCTGAGGAGTTTTGTGGTAGTGTTGGTTTTTGCACAACACCGATGGAAAGGCGGACAACCTCTTAAGTCGTCAGAAAATTGCATGGCGACAAGGCCTTTCTTCCCGGAAGTTGCTGGAATGATGCATAATGATAATTTTCTCAGTAAAGCTCTGATATCACTGTGAAATACAGGCACGAGAGAAAGATGTTATTGATATCGATTTACTACAATACTAGGAGCCTATTTATATCTACACTCTACAAATACATACTACTACTATTCCAATGTGGTACTAAGCATATATACATAAACTATATAACAGTTTTGAAGTGTATGATTATTGGATAAATTGAAGTGGTAATATATAGAGTTGAAGCAAGGTTGGGCTGGGAAGGATTATCGGTGGGTGGGTGAGAAGAATGGTTGGCGCAATAGAAAGAGGTGGCGATGAATGTGGACTTCGGTTCATGGCTTAGGTGAATGAGTGAGGAACAGAAAATTTGTGGCAATTCTTATTTAAAATATAGCGATTAGGATAGCTTAAACGCCAAATGGCACAAGTGTAGAGGAACGACGACATTGCATTAAGGTGAATGGTATGATTGTCTAATGGCCACTCATACAACTATCTCTATTCTGCTCGCAAAGTAGAGGCTCCCTCATACTCAAATCCTTCACAAAATAATAAAAAGAGAAAAATTCAATAGTAGTGTAGTTATCTCAACAAAATTGGGAACATAATTGAGGTTATTGTTAAGGAGCAAGAGAGTGTAAGGTATTGAGAAACTTAAAGTGAGGATGCGTTGTACTTATGTTAGTGTTACCAGTATCAGATATTGAATGGTGTTACCATCACCTGCTGCAATTTCTTTTGGGCTTGGTGGAGATAAATACAACGGGAAGGGTCTCTTTGGGAAGACGAGCCAAATGATCACGCAAACTAAAGATTCTTGCTTGAGATTTGGTTGCGTATGCAGTATGTAGAGCATCCCAGTAGCCTTAGCTGACTGCAATGGTGATAGTACCAGCAAGTGTTGGATTAACTGAGGTCAAGATAGCATTTTGTATTAGCTTTTTTTTGGCGATACCATGCAACGTATTTAGCATTTTCGACATCTCAATTGTTTTGAGACACTGTAGTGTTGTCAAAGGCGCGCTTAAGCCCGAAAGCGAGGCTCAAAACATGTTGAGCGCTTCGCCTCGCTTTGCGGGCGCTTCAGTGTCGCATCAAGGCTCTAAGGCATACTTTTCCTTGCTAATGAGTGTAATCATGAAAAGGCAACACTGAACAATTGATATTACACTTTATCGTAAATTTTTTTCCATATATTTGTTATTCATGCATATAATTATTAGTCTTGGACTAGATATACATATTTTTACTTTTTCTCCATTTTCACCCTTTTCATTAAAGCTCACGCTTTATTTGCGCTTTGCGCTTAAAGCCCCAACGCGCCTTAGAGCTTATTTGCGCTTCTCGCCTTTGATAACACTGTGACACTGACGAGTAGGGGCAGGGTGAGAACCATTGAGATGGCCTAAGAGGTTGTGACCACGCATAAGCATAACACCTTGAGCTTTCCGGAGGGAAAAGATGTGGCTGCCGGCTAATTTGTTGGGTAACTGGATTACAAAATTAGATTGAACAACAACTATATCGGTTTTGGTATCGAAATTGAGGACAGAGACGTTTGCGGCCATTTAATAGGAAGGGTCAGACGACTATCAGGGAAAAAAAAAGTTGGACACATGAGAGTTAATTTTCTCTTGATACCATATGAAATATATGACTGCGATAGAATGAAAAGAGTTTTTTTTATTGATTGTGTGCTGAGAATATAGAATTTAGACAATCTTTACAACAACTTAATGGTTAAGAACTATCCAAACAGACCCTAAATAGGAGGAGAAAGTTACAACAACATCTTAACGACTAGGAACAGAAATTTAAGACTCTAAATCATCGGAATAAGATAATCAATAATATAATCATTTGATATTCTATGCAAATTTGATGCTACCATTTCGGTTCTTAGGAAGTTCATTTACCGCATAAATTTGTCATAAAAATATATTAGGGTAAAAGTAATATTAAAACAATGCTACTTGCCTCTCTAAAATTATAAGCATTAATTATAATTTTATGGTCTTCAATATAGAGTCGGATATTGAATTTTAGCAACTTTTAGCGCATCTTAAAGAGGGTAAGTCGAAAGGAGCATCTATTTTCCAGGTATTTTCTTGTATACTATTATTTCTGTGACATGTTGAAGTATCACAGTCATTCATAATTCTTGGTTATTAAACATAAGTTTAGGTTGTTATTTGCTGATTTTTTAGTACGGTGGAACCATGACATTTATTATGTCATATGGTGAATCATGGTAGCTAAACTGGTTGGCTACCTAAACTTCCACCTTATTAGCTGGGGTTCGATTCCCCACCTTGTAATCCTTTTCTCGTTTTCCGTTCCCCTATCTTTATGTATGCGTGTGTATATATGTATACACACTTGTTTGTTTCATTATGAAAAGACTCAATGATTTGAGAGCAAAACATTAGCAATTTCTGTGATATTTGAATGCCAAATGGTTGCATTTTATCCCAATTCGGGATCTTAAGCAAATTCATTTTTCATTTATTTTGTCACATTATCCTCTAAAAGAACATTAATGTTTACATGAACATTTTAAATTTTTACCAAAAAATACTGTGGATTAACTTGAGAGGCCCTATTTGTATAGCGTACCCCCCTTAATCTTTATGTTTGTATACAGTGAGAAAGTTGCTATTCAGACTATGAAGACCCATGATTGGCATCTTGAAGGAGCATTGGAAGCATTCTACAACGAGGGAAATGCTAAGGTAGTTCAGGAGAAAAATCGATGGGAGCTGCTTTTCAATAAATACAAAGGTAAAGACTGTCTCCTATAATTTTGCAAACTGAATATTACTTATTATTTTGACAGTTTACATGTTTACTCCTTGCTTTGATATTGTTTTTCTTATAGAATAATGTACATATGCTTTATCAATAAACAAAAGCATCTGCACAAACTTGTTGAATTTTCTCTTTTACTTTTAATAATTTATTTTGGTTATCTGGGCCAATAACCATTACTAGCTGGAACATTGGGGCAGTCAAAATAACTACTGGTATCCAGTAAACCTTACAGGTTGGTGACAATCATTCTGATGTCTTGATCCTGGAAGAAGTCGCTAATTATGATCCTTTTTCTTACAGATAACTAATCCAAGTTTAACTATAGAGCATTGTGAACTTTTACTGAAATTGGTCACTAAACTATAAACTGGATTACATTTTAACATTGTAGTAGGATAATCATTATCTATTTCGCCGGGTTATCATGTAGAGTGATCCTGCCGTTAGTACTCTTTGAAAGAAATTGTTCCTACCATGAGGTGCCAACTGAACCTATATCCTTTTTCCCTTGTACAAATTTGCCCCTTTAGAAATCATTGAAACATTGAACTCTCCGTCAGATGTTCCTTCGTTTTTGTAACCTTGCCCATGCAACCCATCCCAACAACTACCAACTCCTCTGATCTCTCATGTCTCTTAAGTGACCCCCTTCTCTTGTAAACCCCTTTCCTCTAGGAATGGGAATGGAGTTGGCTATGGGAACAAGGGATAGGGTGTGTAATTTGTACTCTCTTCCTAAATCAATGGATGAGACTTTTGCCATCATAAATACTGATCTACTAATAAGCCTATTCTCTTTAACAAACAATTGGAAACACATATGGTAGACGGAGAACCTGATTTGCATGATGCTATGGTAAACAATTGTGAAGGAATGCCCTTTTATTAAAAGCTAAAGTAGCTTTCGTCATTCTTTGCATTTAAAGGCATCTTTATTGAGATTGTTCTATTGTATAACGTATACTTTGTGAGCAAAATTGCATTATCTTATTGGATCTCTTTTATATGGCAATCTCTATATGTGTGTATGTAAACAAATATTACTCTTTTCCATTTCGCAGACCCGAAGGCTGACATGATTATGGCTGATGGTATTAGCAACCTCTGCAATGACCTTCAGGTGCTTTACCCAATTGGCTGATCTAACGAGTCAAGAATTACTATGTTCCATGATTAGAATTCAAGAGAAGTGCTTTTAGGTGTTGTCTACAGTAGATTGAGTTGTATAGTTTGTCCTTCTAATCTTAATTTAAACTTCTGTAGTATCACATGCTGTTGTATATGGTATATTCCGTTGTCTTCTTCCTACCTTCCTGATAATTTCTTGGTGATCATGCCTGATTGATGTAAAACCTTTTGTTTTCTTGTCAGGTTGAACCTCAGGATATAGTTATGGTATGTGAAATTATTATCACTTTCCTCTACTTCTCTATTTCTGTCTCTCCACCTCTTTCAAATACTCTATCCGTTTCAAATAGAATGAACCTCTTTCCTTTTTAGTCAGTTTCAAAAAGAATGAACCCTTTTTAAATTTGGAAACGATTAACTTTAAATAATTTCTTTTACCCTTAATGAGATGATTTATAGCCACACAAATATCTATGGATTGTTTTTAAGCCACAAGTTCCATAACTCTTCTCTTTTTTCTTAAGCTCTGTGCCCAGTCAAATAGGTTCATAAAAATTAAAACGGAGTGAGTACTAGTTTTGAAGGTGGGGGGAGGAGCGGGGCGATGCAAAAAAGATTTTATTGATTGTATTGTATTGAAAAAATTAATTAATGAAAAAGGACTATTTAACTCATACAATCAAAATGACACATGTCACAGTAAAATTTAAGCCATACTAATCGGGTTGATTCTCCTGCAGCTTGCTCCTCTTTTATTGATTTTGAGTAAAAGAATAAGTTTTCACTTGAAAGATAATATTTTAAATTCACTTACAATTGCCTTCAATTACAGTTGGTGCTTTCATGGCACTTTCAAGCTGAAACCATATGTGAATTCTCCAAGCAGGAGTTCGTTGGTGGAGTACAGTCTCTTGAGTAAGCCTAGATTAAGGCCTTTGCCCCTCTATAGTTGAATTTCTTTTATTGTGGCAAGTACAAATTTTAGATGTTTAATGTATAATGAAGCTGTATCCTGAATGGCAGAATAGATTCATTGGAGAAGTTCAAGAAAAAAATCCCATTTTTGAGATCTGAGCTGAAAGATGAAGGTATGTCATGACATGGAATTCTCCATTGCTGGTCAAAGAAATTACATCATTTATTCAATAATTTCTTATTTGAAATTTCAGTATGGATATCAAATCTTTCTTTAACTGGTAATTTTATCTGACTAGATGAAAGAATTCCTTACCTTTTGATCTTTTTTAAAACCTTTTTCCAGATACTTTCCGTGAAATTTACAACTTTGCTTTTGATTGGGCAAAAGAAAAGGTTTGTACTTTATTACTGATCCTTCAGTACCCTTTTTCTCTCAAAGTTCTAAGGCTGTCTTGAGTTTGCATTTTCTTTTTTTTCAATTAATTAATTCTAAATGACTGCTATTTATTTTACATTCAGAAGCTTCTTCATTTGCTTGGCTCTCCTTGTCTTTCATGTATTCATTTGACTTGTCAGATACTAGTATGTCTCTAAGATGCAATAACTCAGTTTATTGCTGCCGATTCCGAAAAGGATTCTCCTTTTTCCCCCATTACCAGATAAGCCGTGATGCATTTCAAAGTTATTCCGTGTTTACTATTTAGTCTAACCGAATAGTTCGTACATAGGAAGCTACTTAGCTTATACCAAGAATCTTGGGGTACAAGCACTTAATACTGGGTTTTTTATGCACGCTCATTAGCAGAAGACAATCTAAAGCCAAACGAATCACCTTTAATTGGGATGTTGCAGTAAATTGTTGAAGTTATTCAATAGATTTGAATGGAAAAGGAAAAATTTAATAAATTACAACACGCCATTAGTTATAAGCACCTCTACTTCAAATAGAAGACACTGACAAGGTTTATGTTGTGTGTACAGTACCTCGAAAACTTTGTTTGCAGCAGTTCGCATCGTGTCACTACACAGTGGAACAAGACACACCAAGGCATAAATTTGATTTTGGGTTTAATCTTAAAGCGAGGAAACCAAGAAATTGTATGAATGGTACCTATCAAAATGAAAGCTGATAAAATACGATAAGTCCTGTACACAGGGAATGGTATAGTGGCTGAGTGGAGTAACAATCTGGAGATCCCAGTTAGAACACCTAAAACACTTGCCCCCCCCCAACACACACACACACTATTGTTGAAGTCCAGGAGATCCCATGTTTGAATTTCAGTTATAAAACTTGGTGTGAGCCCATGCATTCCAACTTTCATTGGACATGATTACCTTGGCAACTTGTGCTTGTGGGCCGGATAAGCTGCCCGGTATATTAGTCGAGGTGCACACAAGTTGCAAACACCACCAATGTTAAACAAAATAGTATAAGTGCTAAACACTTGAAAGCAGGTACCTACACTTCCGAAACTGAAGGGAAAAATCTTGAATCAAAGCCTTGGTCATTTTTAAGCAGTTTTGAGAGAATAGAGTAGTAGAACCTTTTTAAGGAATTGAAAATCCGCTATTCAAAGTTAAAATTTCCTTTCTATTTCATTTATTACATTTTTGTGTTACAGGAGTATGCTACTTTGCATCCATGGTTTGGCTTGATTTATGGGATGATTGTTGTATATATTATCTGATTCCTGTATATTAGTGCTACTACTTTCTTCATGTGATATCAATAAATAACTTTTGAACCATAAAAAAAATCTCCTGTCTTACCATAGCGAATAGAATTCTACAGTATACAGTGAACACCACTGGGCAGCAGATCTTTATGTTTTTTTCCGCTTTGTTGGCTTGTACTAGTTTTGCATGTTTTACTTACATTTCGCAGTTTGTTACTTTTCATAACCAGGAAGAGCCCAAGAGTATGGTTCGGATAGAGATACGTTTTTACCCTTTTGCTTACTAAACAACATTTTAGGGTGACAAATGCCATGCCTGTAGTTTCAGCTGTATATGTCTATCTCCTCCTCAGGAGATGCGACAGGAGGTTGTGCGAGGACTGCAAGGTTATCCCAGGTGAGACCTTGTCGACGCAGCATAGGCTTTTGGTGATGGACATTTGTATTAGGATACGGAGGAAGCAGAGGTCAGTACAAGGATGCCCCATGATTAGGTGGGGCGCCTTAACTAAGGATAAAGCTAAGGAGTTGGA